TCCGTGTTGACGTCAATGCGCGACACAAGCATAAAACGAGGTGTGCTTGTTTCCTTGGGGAATTATGCATAGGCAGAAATGGTGAATGAACATCATGGCTAGGTATCAAGAGGACATTTTTAAGTTTGTTAGTCACATGTAGATACTTGGGAAAATCCTCAATCGAACGCCGTTTGAGCGTATTAGATTACCCCAACCTTAAGCTATCTTGCAGCTGGGGCCTTAAGCCCCAGCTGCAAGATTATGCTACAGTTATCAAAATCTCACCATATCGCGCATATTTGGCTGTGATGCATGTGCCTGGTATACTTTTATCAGGTTGGGCGCCATGATGGCTAATATTAGTCGTTTAATATTGGTCTCCCAGCTTTGTGAATACGCGGTGGTGTAATGGTTTTTAGAAATGAGAAATTGGAGCGCCGAGTTCGAATTTCAGTCGAGCTCGTTACGTTCACATATGCTAGAATCCTTGGCAAAAGTATGAATCCACCTCTTATTCCCCAACTATTGTTAAAATGGCAGAACAGACTGAGCTCTTTAGTCTTGATTGACAGTCCAGGAGAAGAATAACGGTAAATTCAAAATCGTATGTAGCTCTGCCAAAGGACATACTATGCGTTTAAAGATTATTTACAGATATAAAAATGTTTTAACAGCTTGTTGGCTGTCCTGAGTAAGACGATAAACTACATCCGCATCCTGTGTATAACAATAAACTACATCCGCGTCCTGGGTGTGACGATAAACTACATCCGCGTCCTGGGTAAGACGATAAACTACATCCGCGTCCTGGGTAAGACGATAAACTACATCCAACAGCAAGGCCTCTGGTCAGGAGGTTTTGATGAGCATGGAACCACCTCTTAATTGCTGGTGTTCCCAGGTCCACCCTGACCCGGGGTGGTAACACCTGCTAGGGTCCCAGCTATGGGCAAATAGTTAACACCCAGACTACATCCGCGTCCTGGGTAAGACGATAAACTACATCCGCGTCCTGGGTATGACTATAAACTACATCCGCGTCCTGGGTAAGACGATAAACTACATCTGCGTCCTGGGTATGACTATAAACTACATCCGCGTCCTGGGTAAGACGATAAACTACATCCGCATCCTGGGTATGACGATAGACTACATCCGCGTGCTGGGTGTGACTATAAAGTACATCCGCGTCCTGGGTAAGACGATAAACTACATCAGAGTCCTGGGTATGACAATAAACTACATCCACATCCTGGGTATGACAATAAACTACATCCACGTCCTGAGTATGACGATAAACTACACCCGCGTTCTGGGTAAGACGATAAACTACATCCGCGTCCTGGGTAAGACGATAAACTACGCCCATCAGCAAGGGCTCTGATCAGGAGGTTTTAACGAACGCAGAACCAACTCTTAAATGATGTTCTTCCCAGGTCCACCCTGATCCGGGGTGGTACCACCTGTTAGGGTCCCAACTATGGGCAAATATTTAACCCCAAACTGGGTTCAAAACACTATGAAATTGTAAAAATAGGTTTTAATACCAGTAATAATTTTTTTCAGGAAAAATTATTACCAGCTAAACATTACTGAAGAATATAAATATTACAAGCAATACATTTTTGAAGGAAAAAGTAGTGGGTTGGTGCATAATTATCAGGCGTTTTTAAACAACATTTAATATGAAAAAAGAAAGATAAAAATTCAACACTAACATTTTAAATGAGTATGATTATCGATACTCATTTTTATAACCTGATAATAAAATAGTTTTTTTATTAAAAAATGTAAACAAAACAGCAACATTTATTGACAAATAACGCGCCTAAAAAACGCCTGATAATTATGCACCAATCCAATATTACCAGTAATGCACTTTTGAAGGAAAAAATATTACCAGCAATAAATTTTTGAAAAAATATTACCAGCAATAAAAATCTTGTCGGCATTAAATAACCCAATAAAGTTGATATGCCGTAAACCAAACGAAACGAAACAGGTTGTTGGATGAAATAGTCGAATACAAACCAACAAACGTGTCAGTGGTCAGTTGAATTTTCATGGAGAAGTCAGCGAAATGTCGAAACCAACATCAGACACAAATAGAAATTATTATTGTGGGAGAATGTTGAGAAAAACATACCATTCAAAACAGTAAAGAATCTAATATTTATTTTCCAATTAGGTTTTTAGTGTTTTTTTCTCCATTTATTCATTTGTACGTAATTTTGTTATTTAATAAAGCTGGCGGTTAATTGGTTTGCCTTTAAGCAATGAGACGGCGGGATTTCCGACAAATTAACATTTGTATTAATTGTGCTTAATCGTTAACGTTGAAGTGCATATCAGTTAAAAGAGAATAATGTGTTTTAATCCGTGTTTTGTTTAGAGGTTATGTTAGTGTAATAAAACGAAATAATTTGATTAAAAACTAATATGCTCGCCTTTATAATTTAAGAGAATCTATCTATCTATCTATATGAAGTCACTTCATATCTATCTATCTATCTATCTATCTATGTATATATATATATATATATATATATGAAGTCACTTCATATCTATCTATCTATATATCTAAGTTTATTACAGAGTTTATTCCTATCTATCTATCTATCTATCTATCTATCTATCTATCTATCTATCTATCTATCTAAAGTCACTTCATATCTATCTATCTATCTATCTATCTATCTATCTATCTATCTATCTATCTATCTGAAGTCACTTCATATCTATCTATCTATCTATCTATCTATCTGAAGTCACTTCATATCTATCTATGAATTCAGTTCATATCTATCTATCTATCTATCTATCTATCTATCTATCTATCTATCTATGAATTCAGTTCATATCTATCTATCTATCTATCTATCTATCTATCTATCTGAAGTCACTTCATATCTATCTATCTATCTATCTATCTATCTATCTATCTATGAAGTCACTTCATATATATCTATCTATGAATTCAGTTCATATCTATCTATCTATCTATCTATCTATCTATCTATCTATCTATCTATCTATCTGAAGTCACTTCATATCTATCTATCTATCTATCTATCTATCTATCTATCTATCTATCTATCTACCCACCCTTATATAATTTTATATATATTTTGGGGGCATTTTTTAACACTAGAAATTGCGCGAGAACTTTTCTGTCACTTGTCTTGTTTCTTTGTTTACTTATTTTTTTTTACTTTTTATAAATTCCGTTAAATTTATTAATCTCTTAGGAGTTACGCTAATCTGCCTCCTCGGCACTGACTGCTTTTTTTCCCCTAATCCCATAACGCCATGTAAGACTTGCTTTTGGCATCATAGTCGTTTGCTTGCGTCGTGGACGAGTTGCACACTTGCCTCAGTGGCAAGACGCGTGATCCGCCAGATGAGCATGTGCATCGTGTGGTTGTAAACGTGTTTAAATCTCGTGTTAAAATGTTTCCTTTTCAACACAACGAAATCAAACAGCGGATTAATGTTCTGGTCGTTTGTTTATTTCGCACGACAGTTAATGTGCCGTTCGTGTTTGTCTTTACGCTTGAGCGCCACTGTGTAAAGACTGACGTAGATAGAAGGAAGCGAGGTGGTCAGATGACTCACTACAATGATTTCAGTTCAACGATGACGAAGAAGGAGTAAAGGTAAAGAAGAAGAAAAAGAAGAGGCGAAGAAAAAGAAAGAAAGAAAAAGGTGAAGAAGAAAAAGAAGGAAAGGCAAAGAAAAAGAAAAAGAAGAAAAAAAAAGAAATCGAAAAAAAAATGAAAAAAGGAGAAGAAAAAGACGGAAAGGCGAAGAAAAAGAAGAAGGTGAAGAAGAAAAAGATGGAAAGGCAAAGAAAAGCGAAAAGGTGAAAAAGAAAAAGAAAGAATTGCAAAGAGAAAGAAAAGAGATGAAGAAGAAAATGAAGGAAAAGAGAAGAGAAAAAGGTGAAAAAAAAGAATAACAGGTAAAGTAGGAGAAGAAGAAAAAAGAAAAAAAGAAAAATTAAAAGAAGACGGAGAAAAAGAAGAAAAGTTGAAGAAGAAAAAGAAGAAAAGGCGAAGAAAAAGAAGACGCGAAGAAGAAGAAAAAGAAAAGGTGAAGAAAAATAAAAAGAAGTAGAGACGAAGATGAAGAAAAGAAAAATGTGAAGAAGAAGAAAAAGTGAAGAAGAAAATGAAGAAAAGCTAAAGCAGAAGAAAAAGAAGAGAAGGTGAAAGTAAAGAAAAATGGTGAAGAAAAAGAAAATGTGAAGATAAGGAAAAAGAAAGATAGGTGAGAAGAAGAAGAAGAAGAGGAGGAGAAGGAGGCGGAAGAAGAAGAAGAAGAAGAAGAAGAAGAAGAAGAAGAAGAAGAAGAAGTTACTTTAATCTACGTCTTAGGTATTGCCTGTTTTATTTCTTATTCTCCAAAGTAATGTTTGCAATGTCTTGGTCGTTTTGTTTATTTGTGTCATAGAATAGTTGCACATTCGCGTTAGTGACTACACACAAAACCCACAAGATGGACGTCGTGTGACACTGGACATATGCAAATCTTTTTGAACGTCCGATATTTCATGCAGCACTCCGAAATCAAATATGCGCATTTATATTTGCGAGGAAATTGTTCAATTCACCGCCATATAAATAGATTGATATTACCTATCAGTTCAGTACACTTTTCTTTGATTTTAGCGAAATGTTTATACCTTAACACTTTATTTAATTTAGGCTTAGTAAAAAGTCGACGGTCAGGCTCAGTGAACATCATTGTCAGAAACATGGAGACATTCCGGGACTAGGAAAAGTATCTAAATTTGGTCAATGGCTTCCCTCATCATTCCCTCATCATGGGAGATAATAATAATTTACTGATACAAGTCCTGCTAATTAACCCATATCTGGGGGTAGAAGAGGTGGATTCATACATTACCTAAGGCTATCTGCGTGTAAGTGAATATAGCGAACACGACTGGAATTGGAACTTGGCACTCCCTTTTCCAATTTCGAGCCATTATCCATTGCAGCATCCACACATCCAAGCTTACATCACTTAGTATTCCCAAGCGGTCACTCATCTAGTTACAGATCAGACTCGACGTTGCTTAACTTCGGTAATCGTACGAGACCCGGTGTTTCAATTTGACATGGTCGTAAGCTGAACTCCATATAGATTCTAAACTTGTTCAGTTGGTTTCTCACCTTCTCACCTTGATTAAAGAGTTACTTCCTGCATGTCATTGAAGAACAGACTTGCTATAGAAAATTTCCTAGGTAGAAATATTATTATCAGTGAAGAAAAGTGAGTCCTCTATAATCCCATCCAACGAAAACGACAGTCGTTAGGACCTACTGTAAAAAGACAACCCTATTCTCAAACCAGGACTACACCCGAAAAAGCGTTATGCCCTGTGTTTCGTTAGATATGAATTGTTAAACAAAAAGGAAACAATTAATGCGGAGTGGCATTGTTGGCAAGTGGAAGCATGGCACAAAAACCCTACCAGTGGAAATGAAGCTTTAATTGTCCGAACATATCAATGACAACATATCAATTGCGCAACAGATTTCTGAGGGTGAAAGAAACTGAGAAAACGTTAGTGGGGAGAGAGTACAACAAAAGAGCTTCAAGGAAACAGAAGATGACGATTGACACTGCATTTAAATTTTTGACGATCGATGAAAGCAAGAAGCCAGTGTCCTGGATAAACTACACCCGACAGCGGGGCCTTCGATTGGAAGTTTTTGAGGAGCATGGAACCATCTCTTGATTGCTGGTGTACCCTGACCCGGGTGTTGGCACCTGTCAGGGTCCCGGCTGTGCACAAAAACGTTACACTTAGCGATACTAACAGTAAATGATGAGGCCTATCTGCTAATCTAGTCAGTACATCCAAGGCTATAGAACCCGGTCTGTCCTGCTATTTATCCATAGCTGGTGGGGTATGGAGAAGAGGATTCATACCTTTCCCAAGGGTACTAGCACGTCAGTCTGTTATGTGCCATGCGTGATACACGCTTACGCGATCATGTATCTTTCGATACATGACTGACCAGGCAGATTTTTTTCCCACAGTAGATTGCCATTTTTTTCTGTCGTAGATCAGTTGTCATCCAAGGCTATAGAACCCGGTCTGTCCTGCTATTTACCCATAGCTGGTGGGGGAGAAGAAGAGGATTCATACATTTCCCAAGGGTATTAGCACGTAAGTGAATGTAATGGATTCGATTTAGTACTACGCTTAAATTCATGAAGTCGAATTTTAGATGATCGTAGTTATTGGGAAAGAGGCAAAAAACCGGAAGAGAGTTACACGGGAGAAAAGTAATTAATTAATTATTTCATTACAGAGACTCCATGACAAATAAAATAATTCATTATTAAAATGAAAAATGAAAAAAAAAAAAACCCTTTCTTCATGGACATTTCAAATATCTCTTCATGGTAAAGCGGCCATCTAGGTATTGCACCTGCTTGTCAGATTAACGTGAAAACATTTGACCCCTGTGAGGTAACTGACCCCGTTTGTTATTCTACTCATTTCAGTACCTGGAACTACAGCATATTGGAATGTAGAGCACGGAAAAAAAATGAAAGAAAGAAAGAAAGAAAGAAAGAAGAAAGAAAGAAAGAAAGAAAAAAGAAATAAAGAAAGAAGAAAGAAATAAAGAAGAAAGAAAGAAAAAGAAAGAAAAAAGAAATAAAGAAGAAATAAAGAAAGAAAGAAGAAAGAAAGAAGAAATAAAGAAAGAAAGAAGAAAGAAAGAAGAAATAAAGAAAAAAGAAATAAAGAAAAAAGAAAGAAAGAAGAAATAAAGAAAGAAAAAAGAAAGAATGAAGATATAAAGAAAGAAAAAAGAAAGAAAGAAAGAAAAAAGAAAGAAAGAAGAAATAAAGAAAAAAGAAATAAAGAAAAAAAGAAAAAGAAAAAAAAAGAAAGAAAGAAGATAAAAAAGAAAAAAAAAGAAAGAAAGAAGATATAAAGAAAAGAAAAAAAGAAAGAAATAAAGAAAGAAAAAAAAAAGAAAAAAAAAGAAAAGAAGATATAAAAGAAAGAAAAAAGAAATAAAAGAAAAAGAAAGAAAGAAAAAGAAAGAAAGAAGATATAAAGAAAGAAAAAAATAAAGAAAGAAGATAAAAGAAAAAAAAGAAATAAAGAACAAATAAAGAAAGAAGATATAAAGAAAGAAAAAAGAAAGAAAGAAAGAAAAAAGAAAGAAAGAAGATATAAAGAAAGAAAAAAGAAATAAAGAAAAAAGAAAGAAAGAAAAAAGAAAGAAAGAAGATATAAAGAAAGAAAAAAGAAAGAAAGAAGATATAAAGAAAGAAAAAAGAAAGAAAGAAGATATAAAGAAAGAAAAAAGAAATAAAGAACAAATAAAGAAAGAAGATATAAAGAAAGAAAAAAGAAATAAAGAAAAAAGAAAGAAAGAAAAAAGAAAGAAAGAAGATATAAAGAAAGAAAAAAGAAATAAAGAAAAAAGAAAGAAAGAAGATATAAAGAAAGAAAAAAGAAATAAAGAAAAAAGAAAGAAAGAAGATATAAAGAAAGAAAAAAGAAATAAAGAAAAAAGAAATAAAGAAAAAAGAAAGAAAGAAGATATAAAGAAAGAAAAAAGAAAGAAAGAAGATATAAAGAAAGAAAAAAGAAATAAAGAACAAATAAAGAAAGAAGATATAAAGAAAGAAAAAAGAAATAAAGAAAAAAGAAAGAAAGAAGATATAAAGAAAGAAAAAAGAAATAAAGAAAAAAAAAGAAAGAAAAAAAGAAATAAAAAAAAAAGAAAAAGAAGATAAAAGAAAGAAAAAGAAATAAAGAAAAAAAAGAAAGAAAGAAGATATAAAGAAAGAAAAAGAAATAAAGAAAAAGAAAGAAAAAAAAAAAAAGAAAGAAGATAAAAGAAAGAAAAAGAAAAAAGAAAGGAAGAAAGAAAAAAAAAGAAAAAAAAAAAAAGAAAGAAAGATAAAAGAAAGAAAAAAGAAAGAAAGAAGATATAAAAGAAAGAAAAAAAAAAAAGAAAAATAAAGAAAGAAGATATAAAGAAAGAAAAAAGAAATAAAGAAAAAAGAAAGAAAGAAAAAAGAAAGAAAGAAGATATAAAGAAAGAAAAAAGAAAGAAAGAAGATATAAAGAAAGAAAAAAGAAAGAAAGAAGATATAAAAGAAAAAAAAGAAAAAAAAAAAATAAAGAAAGAAGATATAAAGAAAGAAAAAAGAAATAAAGAAAAAAGAAAGAAAGAAAAAAGAAAGAAAGAAGATATAAAGAAAGAAAAAGAAAGAAAGAAGATATAAAGAAAGAAAAAAGAAATAAAGAACAAATAAAGAAAGAAGATATAAAGAAAGAAAAAAGAAATAAAGAAAAAAGAAATAAAGAAAAAAGAAAGAAAGAAGATATAAAAAGAAAAAAAAGAAAAGAAAAGAAATAAAGAAAAAAAAGAAAGAAAAAAAAGAAAGAAAGAAGATATAAAGAAAGAAAAAAAAAAAAAGAAGATAAAAGAAAGAAAAAAGAAAAAAGAACAAAACAAAGAAAGAAGAAAAGAAAGAAAAAAAGAAATAAAAAAAAAGAAAGAAAAAAAAAAAGAAAGAAGAAAAAAAAAAAAAGAAAAAAGAAAAAAAAAGAAAGAAAAAAAAGAAAGAAGATATAAAGAAAGAAAAAAAAAAAAAAAAAAAGAAAAAAGAAGATATAAAGAAAGAAAAAGAAATAAAAGAAAAAAAAATAAAGAAAAAAAGAAAAAAGAAAGAAAGAAAAAAGAAAGAAAGAAGATATAAAGAAAGAAAAAAAATAAAGAAAAAGAAAGAAAGAAGATATAAAGAAAGAAAAAAAGAAAAAAAAGAAAAAAAAAAGAAAGAAGAAAAAGAAAGAAAAAGAAAGAAAGAAGATATAAAGAAAAAGAAAAAAGAAAGAAAAAAAAAAAGAAAAAAAAAGAAAGAAAAAGATATAAAGAAAAAAAAAAAAAGAAAAAAAAAAAAAAGAAAAAAAGAAAGAAAGAAGATATAAAGAAAGAAAAAAAAGAAAAAGAAAAAAGAAAGAAAAAAGAAAAAGAAATAAAAAAAAGAAAAAAGAAAAGAAAAAAAAAAAGAAAAAAGAAAAAGAAAGAAAAAGAAAAAAGAAATAAAGAAAGAAAAAGAAAAAAGAACAAATAAAGAAAAAGAAAAAGAAAGAAGAAATAAAGAAAAAAGAAAAAATAAAGAAAAAAAGAATATAAAGAAAGAAAAAAGAAAGAAGATAAAAAGAAAGAAAAAAATAAAAAGAAAGAAAAGAAAAAAAAGAAAGAAAAAAAAGAAAAGAAGATATAAAGAAAGAAATAAAGAAAAAAGAAAGAAAGAAAATAAAAAAGAAAAAAAGAAAAAAAAAAAGAAAGAAGATATAAAGAAAGAAAAAAAGAAATAAAGAAAAGAAAGAAAAAAAAGAAAGAAAGAAGAAAAAAAGAAAGAAAAAAGAAATAAAGAAAAAAGAAAGAAAGAAGATATAAAGAAAGAAAAAAGAAAGAAAGAAGATAAAAAAAAGAAAAAAGAAAGAAAAGAAGATATAAAAAAAAGAAAAAAAGAAATAAAGAAAAAAAAAGAAAAAGAAGAAATAAAAAAAAAAGAAAAGAAATAAAGAAAAAAAAAGAAATAAAGAAAAAAGAAAGAAAGAAGATATAAAGAAAGAAAAAAGAAATAAAGAAAAAAGAAAGAAAGAAAAAAGAAAGAAAGAAGATATAAAGAAAGAAAAAAGAAATAAAGAAAAAAGAAAGAAAGAAAAAAGAAAGAAAGAAGATATAAAGAAAGAAAAAAGAAATAAAGAAAAAAGAAAGAAAAAAAAAAAGAAAAAGAAAGAAAGAAAAAAGAAAGAAAGAAGATATAAAGAAAGAAAAAAGAAATAAAGAAAAAAGAAAGAAAGAAAAAAGAAAGAAAGAAGATATAAAGAAAGAAAAAAGAAAGAAAGAAGATATAAAGAAAGAAAAAAGAAATAAAGAACAAATAAAGAAAGAAGATATAAAGAAAGAAAAAAGAAATAAAGAAAAAAGAAAGAAAGAAGATATAAAGAAGAAAGAAATAAAGAAAGAAAATTTAAAAAAGATAAAGAAAATGCGCAATGATAGAATTAAAAAGAGCAGAGAAAAAACAAGCAATTAAAAAAAACAATGTAAAATGTTATGAAAAAGAAAGAATA